AGATGAACTAAACAGTGATCAGAGAGCCCCAAAGCTGCTCGTGGGACAGAGTGATATGCATTCTTTATTGTGTAACAGTGATCCAATATATTACTGTCTCTGGTGGGACATGTGATGTGCTGTCTGTATTTTGGCAGTTCACGGCAGTGATTTGCTTTATTAAAGTCCCCGAGAATGATTAAAACAGAGTCCGGGTGTTGTTGTTCTGTGTCTGTGATCTGATCAGCGAGTTTCTGTAAAGCTGAGCTCACGTGTGCTTGCGCAGGAATGTAAATACTGACGAGAATGAAAGAGCAAAACCCCCTGCGGCGAGTAGAAAGGCTTACCGTTAGTGAAAAGCACTTCTAGATCTGAACAGCACATCTTGTTTAACACAGTTACATCTGTACACCACCTCTCATTGATGTAAAAGCATGTCCCGCCGCCGCGTGATTTCCCCGTTGATTCTGCGTCGCGATCTGCTCTGAACAGCTGAAAGCCCGGGAGACTCAACGCGCTGTCCGGAATGGCGTCTTTCAGCCAGGTTTCCATGAAACACAGAGCAGCAGAGTTTGAAAAATCCTTATTTGTCCGGGAGAGCAGGAGTTCGTCCATTTTGTTGGGTAGAGAGCGGAGGTTCGCCAGATGGATGCTAGGCAACGGCATCCTGAATCCGCGCTGCCTGAGCTTCACGAGCGCGCCGGCTCGCTTCCCCCGTCTGCGCGTCCTGAAGCGTCTGAACAGCGCCGCTGCTCCCCCGACTACAATGTCCAGCAAAACATCAGAATAATCGAAAACCAGTGAAATATCGGGTGGTGTGTACTGCCTAATGTCCAGCAAATCGTCTCTGATGAAACTGATTGCAGGGATATAACTAAAGACAGGACAAACTAACAAAAACATAAAAACAACTGCGGTGCACGCCATGGAGGCAGCCATCACCGTCGGCGCCATTTCACAACTCAACACAATACTAAAGCAAGAATCAAAGTTACACCTTCTTTCTTTGCATGAACATTTGGGCGGTTTTATCCAAATCTTCCCACACAGTGACGTAGACATGTGGGAGCATGTTTAAACGAGGCGTTTTAGGAGGGCATGGACGAGTCTTAACTTTTATAAAGAATATCTCTTTGAGTTTGAGACTTCAGTCTTTGCAACTTTACAGATCTAGAGAAAGGAAAACTTGAAATCGCATCATATGAACCCTTTAAGTGCAAACGTTCATGTGAATCTTTATACAGGTGTGTCATCATGTGTTAATTGTGTTATACTCAGATGTGTGACCTATGTTGCAGTTACATATTGTTAATCATTTACTTTGGTGCAATATGATGTAATTTATTCGGTATACAGTTTGGAATGTGAAAGATTTCAAATGTTACGGTACTTTGTTTCTTATACATGAATGCAAACTTATATGCACTGTTATTTCATACGTGCTTGTTACACTAGTGATGCATATGTAAAATATTCATTTTTCAATGTACTTAAATTTAATTTGTTCTTTTCAGTTTTACACTACTTCCAGTCATCCATTAAACGAAGTGAACTGAGTATGCAAGGCACATTGGGGTGGCAGAACAGTGGTGTCTTTCCAGAATGACTATGTGTTTCAGCTCTAAACTTTTGCTTGTAGTGTTTTCCTGTCTCTTTAACTTAAATATTTATGGTTATACGAAGGAGAAATGGCTGCACACTTTCCAATCACTCACCAGCCTCTGGCTCCTCTGCTCCTAATAAGGAATTAACAGTACCAACTGGTACTCACAGAATAAGATTTATGTAATATAAAACAGGCAGAGATAAAGTTACTTGGCACTTAATGGACCCATTTGGTGCAAATGGGTCCCAGCTCTCAAAACAGCACTCAGAGAGTGAGAAGTATTCCTAAGCGCTACGCAATGTGTCCAATAATATTTAGATTTCATAATCCAGCCGGTCTGATTTATTTCCATGTGAGTATGTGACCTCAATTTCAAGAACAAACTCAATGTGGGTTTGGAAACATGTCCGTATTTGTTACCGTAATGCTTTCCGAGGCAGGTTGAGCCGAATTTGTGTAGACACTTTGTAGAGGAATCGTTCCACCCTTCTTTCACTCCTGACTTGAGACCTGTGAGCGGTTGTCAGAGAGAGAAAATGTAAAATGAAAGGAAATAAAATATCATAGAGGGGTTTAGCGGCATTGACACTTCGATTCATCTGTCTATGCTTACCATACATCTTTCACTGCCATGGGTCCTCCCTTGGGTGGCCTGAGAGAATGGGCCTGCCGGGCCAACGTAATACTCCACTATAAAATAAATAAACCGCTCTGGCTCTCTGAAGTAAAATACGTGTTTGGAAAGGCCTTCATTTGTAAAACTGCCAGCAATAAGAAATGTTTTATCAAAGTCTATATGAAAACAGAAGAAAAAGAAAGGTGACTATGGGGAGGAAATGGAACAATAAGTGGGGGAAAAAGAGACAGAGATCTGACTTTTATTTATTTGAAAGTATCTTTCAAGTCTAAGCTTTATAATATAATAAACATTAGAGTATCTCACTCAGTCCCTCACACAGAATAAAGAGCAGCAGGGGAATATGGGTTCCTTCTGCTGCCGCATACTGACAGAACTCTGAGTAAATTCCCACAGAACAGAGACAACTCATCTTCCACATTGAACTGTGGAATAAACGTTACGAGATCACCTTTTTCCTGGAGCCGAGGGAACATGTTTGACATGTCTACATTTATCTACAACAGAGACGAGAGTAGAACTACGTGACTTTTCTCTTGTGGGAGTGCATGAAAGAGGCATCCACTTTAAGTACATCAAGGTGCTAATAAATAATTGCACGATTTTAATGAGATTTAAATCATCAAACTGTTATAATGGCTTTTTTCCCTGATTGAAGATTAGAGTATGTTTGTGTTCTGTAGCGTGATTCAGAGGAGAATAGTTGAGTGATGTGCAGACGGTGAGATAGCAGACCACCTCACAGCAGGACAGACGACACACTTTGTAATCATTGTGAATACTGTGTTCTGGCTGGAAATGATTCCAGCTCCTGTTAGCTTTTGTCCTTCATGTATCAGTGTGAGAGTGAAGAGACACAGCTCAGACCTAGCAGTGCAAATAGGTATGTGGCTTAGTATTTATGTATACACACACACATACTGTAATACTTTTAGGGTTGAGGTAATGGTGGGAGATAGATGCATCATCTGTAACCCCATGATAAAATCCATGTGGCTGTTTTGGACTTATCTTGGACTTGCAGTAAAGACAGCACCAAGCCTCAAGCAGAGGCATCACACATACGGATTGTTAGTGCCACTCATATCAAATATGTCAGGCTTGGACTTTGTTTATTATAAATTCTTTCAGGAAAAGAGAAGAAAACTATGTTCTAACTTTATATATAGTATATCCATATCCATAGCATCTCCATACTCTTAGACTGCCAGGGGATCTGGGGTAAATCTCTGTTCATTGTGAGTAGCCTATTTGTGATATAAGTTTGCAATGGTTCATGATGCGCCTTGTCACTCCAGTGTTATTGGTAGAAGATCCCTCACATTAGCACATAGATATGTCACACTGGTCATTCCAATAAATGAATGTGTATAGAGAAGCTGTGAAACAGAGGTTGGCAGAGGCTGTAAAATATCCAGATGACCAGATGATGTCATACAACAACAAAAAAAGCTAGTGGGAAAAAAAAAATGGTTTGAATGCAATTTTTGTTGCATGAAAATAATTATCAGTGATCACACTTAAAAAAATATAAATAAATAAATAAATAAATACAAATTCAAAACCATAAGTGACTAAGTGGCTGTCTAGGTGGTAACAGATGGGATAGTTCACCCAAAAATGAAAATTCTGTAATTTACTTTTCTCTTCTGCTGAATACAAAAGATGATGTTTTGAAGAAGTTTTGGTGACCACGAACTTCACTTGTATTAAAAAAAAGAAAAAAGAAAGAAAAAATAGACATCAAAACATCTTCTTTCATGTGGCGGAAGAAAGGCAGTCATACAAGTTTGGAACTACATGAGGGTGAGTAAACGATGACAGAATGTCCATTTGAGTGACAACATTTGTTCTGGTGCTACCACATTATGAGCCTGCCTTCTAAACTACAAAAGCAATGTAAAATAAATACTGTCTTTGCGATTTAATAAGTGCATTTATTTTGACAAACTTCGCTCTAATTTTCAAAAGAATGTTGTCTTTGGGGAGGAAAACAGTCTCTCTTTTTGCAATCTTTGAAATAAGCTCTCTTGGTCTCTGTCTCTGTATCTAATCTTTTTACAAAGAGGTTTGGCATGCCATTTGAAGTGCTGATTAAAATCAGCTGATTAAAATCAATATAATCATGCTTTGATCCCAGCAGTCAGGGTTTCCAAATGAAAGACAAACACATTCACCATAAGTACATAAGAAGATACTGTCAAAACAGATTCTAATTTGATTTCTTGCTTGAGTAAATATGTCTCTAAGAGTAGCATGATTGCAAGTTCATGGGAAGCAGGGTGAAGGAGGAAACAGCCAATCAATGTCAAAAGCAACACAGATGAAATCTTGCCATGACACCTCCATACAAAGTTGTAACAATGGATTATTGTTTCCGCTTTATATCTCGGCCCTATGCAGTCTATCCAGTTGTTGAATTTAAATTCGTGTTTACCTCTGACCTTGTGAAGAATCACAATGACAAAGTGTTATGTTGCTCTTTTGTATGATTGAATTGGTATATTCTTTGATGTGCCTAATTTCACATACAGCTTAAAGATATAGTTCACTCAAAAACAAATGAAAATTCTGTCTGTAACAAAGTTCGTAGTCATGGGAAGAAGGAGGCGGGAACCGGCGAACATTTCAAACTTTAATAAAATAAACAAACACAAAACGAAAGTAAAGCGGCAGCCCCTCGCGGACGACTGCCGCACACAAAACACAAAATAAAGTCCAGGCCTGGTCCTCTCTCGTCCAACACTGTCGTCACTCCTCCTTTTATCCTTCCAGAGCTCCTCCGTGGGACTCGAGACGGTGAGTGGCGCAGGTGTCGTGCATTAGCATTTTCTCCACCGGCCTCGCTCCGTTCCCACGGCTCTCGGCCCCGCCCCTCTCGTCACACTGTCTGAAGCCTGTATGACTTCTTTTTTGAAGATTTTTTAAGAATGTTCAGC